CTCAGATATAATGAAAACACTACGTCAGTCGACGCTCAGCTTTGGTAAGGAAGAGACAGGACAGGCAGAGAGAGAGAGAAAGTGATGGAAGTCAGGGAGGAACTGCAGGTACAGTCACACAAAAGAATGTAGGCTTAATAACCCCATCTATCCATCTATCTATCTATCTGTCTGTCTATCTGTCTGTCTATCTATATCTATAACAATAGTCTTAATTTACACTATAGACAATAGGCATAATTTTAAAACAACATATACTGTATCTATTGCAGTTATGATGTCATAATAACATACAATTGTATAAAACACAATTTGCGACAAGTGAGGAGGAGCAAAAAGTGAACAACGAGGGAGAGATTGAACAAAGAGTAGAGGACAGAGAGAGTAAAGAAGATGGAAGAGAGGCTGCAGGTTATGGAAAGGAGAGAGACATGGAAAATGAATGTTGACAATGTTTTGGGATCATTTTAGCCTCTTCTGCATGTCCAGATCATTAATAGTAACAATCAACTGATTCTTATGCATTACATTTTCAAAAATAATTGATGCTGCAGCCCACTGACATGGTTTGAAATCAATATATTATCCATTTGTGACCCCCCACAGGACTTAACCTCTTAAGCACGGCGGTCCCCCCATTGGACCCCTCCCACCGTTTTGTTTTCGAGATAATGTCTCGGGGCTTCTTAACATTTATGAAACTATTAATGTGTAGCACCAGATTAACGGGAAGAATCTCAGCTAACTGAAGATATGAACAATTTTTACCAAAACAAAACACAAGTCTCATAAGAAGCGTCTAAATGACCCCTGAGCGAAAAAATTCTAACGCACTGCGGCACACAATTCAAGATAAAAATACCCTTATTACTTATCGTAGCTGCACATACAATATAGCCGATTAAAGCTGAGACTCCACTGATTATTTAGGTATAGTATCATCACTGAGCGATCCGAACTTGCGACAGGGGAAGCAAACACAGACATCACAACCCGTACCTTTACGGAGCTTTTACGGCAGATCGTCTCACCGTAGCTGTCAATTAGGTCAAAAGATGTGTTCAATGGCATTATATATATATATGGTCCGACTGGCATTTGCCTCACCTTTGTATAGTGCCATTCATATATATATATATATATATATATATATACACAGTATATAATACCTATTATCAGTACAAATTCTGTTTTTTTTTCTCTGCGCTTGAGACAGGGCATTCCTAAATGTAACTTCACAGTAGGTGACCAGGGGCCTCATTTATAACGCCTTGCGTAGGATTGACGTGAGAAGGTTGCTTACGTAGTACAAAGCAAAAAAATAGGTACAGAAATGTTCAGACATTTTCCGATTCACAAAACATTGCGTACCGGCGAGGGAAGTGCGTACCGGCACTTCCTACGCCTGTTTCCCTTTATAAATCACAATCGACTCGAAATGCGGCGCAGCTTTTGCAGGCTTCACGTAACGCCCATATTTGCCTATAAATAGTCAAAGAAACGCCCATTCATTCATTCATTTTTGACTGACTGCATGAAGTAGATCGCAGGAAATGACGATAGAACAGCTAAAAAAGACATCTCACACCGTGTCAGATTTAGGTTATTGTGGGGAGGTGGAGGATAATACATATTGTTTGGTGGAGGATGCAGTTTGAACCATGAGTAGCAGCATGGATGTCGGAATCGTCACCCAAACTAAATATAACTAAGGTGCCGTCCGAACAAAAGTTAATGACAAATAAATTACACATAACCTTCCTCAGGCAGTGTGGTTTGATACCAGGGACAGGAGGACACCCCCTGCTTGAGAAACTGTAAGAAATGATCGGGGAATCCCTCCGGTAGTGGAGTTTCATGACGACTGGATCTGAATTTATTTTGTTTCCTGTATTCGGGTTGTTTGTGTTCCAGCTGTTCGATCAAGCAAACTATATATCCATAATCCACCAGTTAAAGGAAATACAACTGTGTTGTGTTGTATTAGCTGTACAATTTACCACATAGGCCTTTGGTGTTCTTAGTTTCCATACCTCCTGTGTTTTACGAGCGACTTATCAAGTCTTGGCAAACGGCATAAAACACGATTAAACGTGATAGTATATAAAACCATGCTCGTATCTACAACCTATAGAAATGCAAAACGGCGTCAGTTTAGACGTAATTCTGTCCTCCTGCTTACCGCATAATTTATGAGAAAACATTTCATAACAGTAACACAACATATTCCAGGTGGTTTTAAATAACATATCTGTATTTATATATTTCTCCAAGTTATGTTTTTGTGTGCACTGAGGAGTCTCAAACAGGCGTTTGTTTAATCATTTTAAGATTGGCTTTAATCAATGTTTGAAAATGAATTCTTCATATTTGATAAATGAGAGGTAACATTTTATTTATGGTATTATTTCCACATATTTCTCTCCATTCTTCCTTCTGCCAACGGTGTCGCAGTTTCTCGTCTCTCCCGTTTGTGTGCTTAGTGCATACGCATGGGTTAGAGTTTGCGTGGAGGACAGCACATTTTCCCGTCAAGTTAGTATTTTATAAATCGCAAACATTGCGTAGAAACTGGCGTACGCCATTTTTTGAGCGTATATCCCTTTATAAATGAGGCCCCTGGTGTGGCGACAGAATGTGAGGAGCCAACAGAGAAAAGGTGGCAAGCTTGAGGCAAACTTCCTGGGCCCTTTCAAAATTACAGCACTAGAGGGGAAAAGTGCTGATCTGCAGTCGGATGATGGTAAAGTTTTTTTTTAATCAATGTGGATCACTTAAAAATATCCAAAGCAGAGCTGCCCCGAATCCCTCACCAAATAAAAAAAACAGCAAAAATAGCAGAATCACCCTCCACATCACCAGCCTACACTCTAAAAAAAAAAATACACCGGCTCTACTTAAATAAATTGAGGTAACAATTTGCATTGATATTTTTAAGTAAATGCGAGTAACCATTTATTACCTGATTAACTCAATTAGTTCAGTACTACAAACATAATTTGCTTTCACCTTTCACCTAAATTAAGTTGAACCAACTTCATTTTAATCGTAAAGATGTAGTGATATTAAGTTGCATTTTGTTTAATTTAAGCTATTATAATGTATTTATTTAAGTCCATACTACTCAAACATGTCTATGCAAATTGTTACCTTAATTTGTTTGAGTATTAGAAACTCATTCTAATTGAGTCAACAAATAATATACACATTTCAATTCCACTTTTGAACAGTTTATTTTAAAATGTCGACAAATCCCTCATGGCAGGACGAGATGGCTGCTGCATACACTTTCACTGTGGAATGAGCAAGCTCTCTGTCCACCAGTAACTGTAAGTAAGACAAAATAGATCCCAACACACAAGATAGGGGCTCTATTTTCCGCTCCTCACACCATCGCTGGAATCCCAGCCACTTCTGCCTGTAACAGGTGGTGGATCCCGCTCTAGCTGCCTGGATAGACTGAATAACACTATCAGACAATCCACCCTGTCTTAGCCTGTCCCTCTCAGGAGCCAAGCTCCAGAGTGGGTAACGCCCCGATTGCACCTGCCTCTTGAGACATCGCCCCCCAGAACTGGGGAAGCGCTGTAAGAAATTCAAATCAATGTTTAATGACGTAATTTAGTTAAAACATACAGTAAGCTTAAAACTGTTTTATTCTGAAAACATTTCCGGTTAGCATTCGTCTGTGGCTAACGTTGTTGCTAAAGTTTATTTTGAAAAGCTTTACCGGAAGAAGTCTCCGGATATCAACAGTGACGTTAGCTTCTGGTTTTATGTTAACAACGATTACAGCCGTTAAAATGCATTAAATAAAAAGTCATTAATGAGTCCATGAGGAGAAAAGGCGTGTGGAGTTATGCAATAAATACACAACGTCTAAATCCTCTGTTATGCGCGATATCTGACATAGAAGACAGAGGAGGGCGGACCCCCACGTCACAGCCCCGAGAGAGGAGGAGCGAAGGAGAGATACAAGCGGGAGAACCAACGTGTTCACGTCCTCTTTTCCACGGTACCAGCTGCGAGACAACATCTGCTTCTGTCTCCCCACTACACCTCTGTTTGTTTCATTACCACGCTACTTATTTAAAGTAACCAATTTGACCCTTTTCAGAGACTCCATTAGTCTCTTTATTTTAACTTCTCTCCTGGGCGCGAGAGAACCAACACTGATCAACAGCGCCCAGGGCTGGCCCACCTTCATCTGTGTCATCTCTGAGTACCACGGCGCCCCGGCGCGATCCGGCACTACTAGGATGATTGACAGACGTTCTCGCCTCACTCTACCCAGGAGAGGGAGAATGAGACGCAGCGGTAGAAAGGCGTAGAGCAGTTTTTTTGGCCATGGCTCGTGTGCGAACGCATCCACCCCCAAGGGCGGATCGTCGCTCAGAGCCATGGAGAACCACAGGGCACAGTGGCTGTTGCGCCGGCTGGCGAACAGGTCCACTTCCACTCTCCCGAACTGGGCCCAGATCTGCTTCACCACCTCCGGCTGAAGCGCCCACTCACCAGGGCCGCCCCTCGACATGAGGTCGGCCCCCCTGTTCTCCAGTCCCGGGATGTGGAGGGCTCTCAGAGATAACACCACCTCTGAGGCCCATAACCACAGTTTCTCCGCCGTGGTCAACAAAGCGGCGGAGCAGACTCCGCCCTGCCTGTTCATATATGCCACTGTGGTGCTGTTGTCGCTCCTGACCAGTACATGTCTCCCCCGAATTAAGGGTTTGAAATGCTGGAGGACCAACACTACTGCCCGCTCTAGGAGGTTGCTGTGCCGTGTCTCTGTTAGAGACCAGCGCCCACCTATAGCTCTCTTCAGGCAGGTCCCTCCCCATCCTGTTCTGGACGTGTCCGTGAACACTGTGATGTAGGAGGTCACCCGTCCCAGTGGAGACCCCAGAACCGGAGGTTGCCCTCCACTGAGGGGGGGATGCTCATTGCTAACTTCTATGTTATATGCAGTAAATAGCTGTTGTAAATTAAGCTGAACAAAAATGGCTACTTACCAGGTAACTTGATAGATTATTAGGTTAAAATCCTGTTGTTCCACTGCTATCAAGTGTTCCGCTTCCAGGATGAACGCAGATTGCTCCAACTCCACATGCGGTCTGGCAGAGTCCAGGCGTGGGTTCAGTTTTGAAACTTTACCGTTGAAACTCAATAGATATGAGTTACTCTAACTTAGTATTTCTCTATAGTTGAGTCTATGGAGATTTTCTTTTTCAAAATCATTAGATTTGTAAGTAAAATTTGTTTTGTTATTTTTCAGTTTGACCGACTTAATAAAATGAGTTGTAAACTAGCTAAAACAAGTTGAGGTAAAAAACACAATTTCTTATGTTGAAAAAGTATATATTTTTAAGTGTAATCTACTACCCCCATGAATCGTTTTTTAGAGTGTACATGGAAGCTCCATCAGCGCCAGCCTCACCTGCTGCCCCATCAGCGCCAGCCTCACCTGCTGCCCCATCAGCGCCAGCCTCACCTGCAGCCCCATCAGTGCCAGCCTCACCTGCTACCCCATCAGCTCCATCAGCACCAGCCTCACCTGCTGCCCCATCAGCTCCATCAGCGCCAGCCCCACCTGCTGCCCCATCGGCTCCATCAGTGCCAGCCTCACCTGCTACCCCATCAGCTCCATCAGCGCAAGCCTCACCTGCTACCCCATCAGCTCCATCAGCGCAAGCCTCACCTGCTACCCCATCAGCTCCAGCCTCACCTACTACCCCATCAGCGCCAGCCTCACCGGCTCCATCAGTGCCAGCCTCACCGGCTCCATCAGTGCCAGCCTCACCTGCTGCCTCATCGGCCCTATCAGCGCCAGCCTCACCTGCTACTCCATCAGCGCAAGCCTCACCTGCTGCCCCATCAGTGCCAACCTCACCTGCTCCAATAAATACTCTCACTCTAACTGACAAATGTAGGTGTTTTGATATTGAGTGTTACTTTTGAATAGTAATTATGTAAAAATGAACTAAATCTTTAACTATATCATGGTTGGTAAGTAAATGTGTTTTTCAGATGTGCAGGAGGCATTGGGTTGGAAGGATGTACACGTCCTCCTTTCAAAAATAGGGCCATACAAACTGTTATTTTGGGATATTACAAACACTGGTCCAAACAAGGAGCTGGAGAGTGAGGTATTACTTTGTCACATTATAATTTATATTTTATATAATTCCGTTCCCTAATGGGCAATATTTTTTTTTTATGAAAGTCACAAAACATTGTATTACAGTTTTATTGACTTAAAGGTGGGGTAGGTAAGTTTGAGAAACCGGCTCGAGATCGCTAGAATTTGAAAATACACAACCGGAGAAAATCTGCCACTTCCTTATAGAGCCCCTCCTCCAACACACACGAATGCGCACATGACCAATGAGGGCACGAGATAAGTTTGTGCACAGATGGAAGGCTGACAGGCAGGTAGGCCATCCAGTTATTTTAGCCGTACTTTTTACAGTATTACGGCTTCCACAGATGACTTTTTTATGGATTTTTTGTCAAAGCACTTAAGATATTCATTGCTATCGTGATGTTAAGAGCATTCCATGGAATATAACAAAAAGTGTATCTCGAGCCGGTTTCTCAAACTTACCTACCCCACCTTTAAATAATAAAAGGAAATTCAGTGACGTTACAACAATGTAGTTGATAGTATTACAGTAAACATGCCTCTTTTTAATACATTGTGATAATTGTTCTCATAGGTGATCAATGCCTACCTTACACTCATTGTAAGAAAATATAACCAGTGCAATGACGGTCAAGCAGCTGTTATTGACAGCTACGAAATCTGGAAACAGACATTTGGAAGAATCCCGGTATGTACATAATTGGAATGACTTCGCATTTTGTAAATGTTGCAAATGTGCGTTTTTCAACAGGAATTTCATACTTTTGCAAATACTCTCAGGTTGATCCAATGACACACGCAGTCATCGTGGGAATTGTGAATGATGCCCCTTTCACACCAACGCCTCTTAGCTCCGGAATGCGGTTCACTTCCAGCTCCAAAAAATTGTCGGTCTAGAGGCAAGAGCTTCGGAGCTAAGAAGCGGCGTCGCTTACGTCTCTCTTACGTCGAGGCGTGCAGGAAACTAAACCCACCTCCCCTGAACATGGGTCGACTGAAGAGTCTCGTCATGCATGCCTACAAGCAGTAGCGCTGAGCAAAGTGACTAGAAGGCAACCACACACTTATAAAAAAAAAAACACACTTTATAAAGTCAGGCAACACTAACCAGGCTTCGTGTGATTCTGTTTATTTGTACCTTACTTTGACCATCCGTTCGCTGTTATTGATCATTGTGGAGAGCAGGCAGACGTTTTGTTTTTTATTATAGCAGCTATCGGATGGAATCAATACATGAGCTGCACAGGTTGTCATGTCCGACTATCACAAGTAGAATCATAATGAAAAATATGCCGGTAGAACACGGCTTAGCAAGTAGTCAGTTTAGCTTCGGTTGCTATGCTAACATCACCCATGTTATACCAGAGAAACTTTCATAACAGCGTTGTGATGCCAAACAGCGTCAATTCAGACTGACACACATTCACTTAAGGGGAACTGGGGATATGTATCAGCTGCTTGTGTGACAGTCAGACAGTGAATACTTTAGAGCCGTGTGAGCTAACCCGGAGCTAACGGGAGAATAAACTCCCGTGGAAGAGCAGCCAGCACTGCAGCGGTCGGTAAATGCCGCTGAAACACATTAATAAACAATGAACCACGGCACTCTGGAGAAAAGTATAAGGTTGGAGAAGTCGTTATTTAATTTAATCTGGCTTCGTATGATTAAAAGCAACACGATCATCGATCCGACGCAGTCCCCCGTTGTTGTTGTGAGCTCCGTTGGGGAGAAAATCAGCGATGTAAACGGTGACGTCATGACGCAGCAGCGGCAGCTCTGGGCGGTGTGAACAGAGCTGGAGCAGAAAAGGGAAACCGGAGCTGAACCAGAAAAGCTCTAGCTAGGAGCTAGAAAGGGAAAAGCGCTGGTGTGAAAGTGGTGTGGATGTTGGTGGTGAGAATAGGAGCAATTTTTAAGCTCCAATCTGTATCTATAATGCTGTATACACCCTATATAATTAGCCATTTGCAAGATAACCTGGCCACACATACATGCTGTCACTTATTAATAACATCTAAACAATACCCTACATTGTTCCTGCCTAATGCATGTTGTGTTTCCATGTGAATAATAAAAGGTAATGTACCCCCATGAGAAGAAAACCCTCTTCTTGGATCAACTTGGAGAAAATGAAGGTGTGCCTGGAGTCTACAAGGTAAATGTGATACAGTGTACTAGTTCCGGTGTTGTATGAGTTTTTTGACAATGATGTGCTGCATCTTGACACATGTACTATATACATACTGTAGAGCAGGGGTGCCCAACCTTTTTTGAACCGAGAGCTACTTTTAAAGTTGCCAGTCTGCCGAGATCTACCATTCCAAATAGAGAGGCGTAGCCATTACTGACAGCCTACTACCAGGTAAATACACACTTCTACTTGTATAAAACTGACCTTTGTACGATTAATACTTCATAAAATACTGCAGATCCTTTATCTTACCTCTTTCTAATCTACACACATACAAGTATTTAACTGAAGTTACACAACAGTGTTGTTGATACAGAGTTGGAGTTTATTCACACGTCACATACTACAGTGGGTAATGTTTTCAAGAAACATTGAACAGCGCTGCCACATATGACACAGGAAACCTGTTGCTACAAAAGTATAAATTAGGCTTACTAATAAGACAACTCAGATCTGAAGCTACACAGGAATCTGCTGCCAAAGTGCAATAAAAAAGACAAAATTAATAGAATCAAACCCTTTTTTTATTGCATTTTAGTAGAGTATAAAAAGAAATGCCTTTAAAATAGGATGCAAGCAACACTAGTTTCTTAACCTGAATTGATAATAGACTATAATAAATGTAAGTTTACATTCTTATACCATTTTGTACAATAATTATAATGAATAAGTTCAAACAAACTAAAACTTACAGCTGATTAATAACGGTATCTAACTTGAGTTTTTATTATATCAAAAACCTGTTGAAATGCTACTGTTATTACTGTCCCCAAAAAGCGCATCGGCAGCCTCCAGGAATGCTTCTTTCACAACTTCGCCGTCTTTGAAAGACTTCATGTGTTTCGCAAGAACGTGACTGACACGATAAGATGCTATGGTAGCAGCCTTGCTCTTGTTGTTGGGCCTGGTGAAAATGGACTGCTGTGCATTTAGCTGTCCTTTCAGGTCCCTCACCTTTTGGGAGCGTAGGGCAGAGTTAGGAGGGAATTCCGTCTCGTGGCATATGTGCACTGTTTTGAAATGCCGCTCCTAAATTACCCTTCTTCGATAAAGCCACGCTCGCATTGCAGATGAGACAGATGGACTTTGAATTGGAATAGATACAAAAATAATCATCCTCCCACACGGAGTGAAATTATATATTTTGGGCTTTTTTGCTTCTGCCATAATTGCGGTCTTGTGTGTGTGCGGACTGTCACTCCTGTTGACACGGACAACGTCAGCGAAATAGTGCCCACTGCCCACCAGCCACGCCCCGACACATGGGGTCACGCCGGCCAATCACAAAGCTTTGATGCGTTCAAGTGCATTATTCTGGCACAGGAAGATTATGTTATAGGACATTAACGATAAAACAGAATATTGTTGTTCTATTTTTAGACACATCTCGCGATCGACTGGGAATCTCCCCGGTCGATCGCGATCGACTGGTTGGGCACCCCTGCTGTAGAGCCTTTATGAGGATGAAAGGCTGCAAGGTTTCAAGGTGGACATGCAGCACCCTCCCCCATAATCGCCAACAAGATGGCACATCCTGTGGTGTCCTGGCCTTAAAAGTGAATGTGAAATGCATTTACCCAAACATTACTGTCAAACTCAAATTCAGTAGCAATTAGACTGAATATCTTGACTTGCTTTTATACATCTTGATCAAAGATGTATTGAATTGTGTAAAACAATATATACAACATGTAATTCTTTAAATCTGTTGGGTAATTTGTCTGTATTCGATTTGAGGGTAAAATCATAGACCATGCAGTCCATTCTATACTAATCAGAGTTCTCTTCAGTTTGCAGAGAACATTTTACTGGGGGAGGCAATTGACTTTCAAACCTCACAGAAGGCAGTGCACGAGCTGAGGCTGGACATTGCTACTTCTCTCCTCAGAGAATCATTTTTTTCCCTTTCTTCTCAACATTGTCAATGACTTCATGTAGTTAGTTTTATGAATTTTATCTCATAAGTATGCATCTATAACCTAGTATATTAATAATGTGCCATGCAAATTGTTGTATTGTATCACTGCTTGGACCATTGGTACTGTTGGGTAATATTGACCAGGGACATTATCAGGGTTTTAAAAGCAACACAGAAGTAAACATTCACATAAAAGCAGTCCTTAACATACAGTGTTGGAGCCATAATGCATGTGTCTTTGTTCATATTTTATCTGCACGTTTAATGAATGTTGCAGTTCCAACATTGAACACAAGATAGAGTATTCACTTGTAAGTGTGTATACATGTAATCACTGGGTGATCAGATGCAGGTGTGTGGGACAGTAGCAAACAGTTTTCGACCGTGTCTCGAGAAGCTGTGTCGAGTTGAGCTACATGTGTCTTTGGTTGTATTTAGCGTGAGTGACTCATATGGACATGGTTTTATAGTCTGGAACACGCGTCTGAACCAAGTTCTCCCGTTCCCATCCCTTAGTGGCTTAAAGTGGACCTATCATGCTATATTTAAATGATATATTGTAGGGCCATACCGATATAAGGTATATTTATACATTTCTGTTTTCAAAATACCAAACAGATCATACATTTTAGCCATGCCTCATTTCGCTCTATGTGCTGTTTGCTGTCT